CGGCTTAGGTGAGTAGAGTAGAGTAAGTGCCCTGCATGCCTGAACCCACGGGGTACGTACCCTACATGGCTGTCTACTTACCCAAGCAGTACCTACCATGCCTATGTTGCTATTTTTAGCAGTATAGTGTCTTGCTGCCGGAGCCTTTCCCCTCTGCAGTGAAAGGCTCTGGCAGTGGTGAAAGGCTCCGTCAGCTCCCCACTGCCTCCTCCCTGCCAGAACCGTTCCCATTGCCTCCCAGCTGCCAGAGACATTCGTTGCCATGTTGAGCTACACACTGCGGTGACAAGTATGGACACAGCCTGTCTGCCATGCAGTGGGTAGTGGCACATATAATGCCTGTACTCTATACTCCGACATAAGTTTAGACATAGCCAAGGATACAGTAAAAATGGCTTGAAACTTGGCACGGACATCATTCTCATTGAACTATGACTTCTCTTGGGTTACACAGAGAGCAAGAAAGAAGCTTCTGAGCGTGCTCGGGGGGGTATTTGCTCTGACTTTTAGCAGCACTCAATGACGCCCTATCCACTTTGGGCCACATCTTGCAAGGTGCTGAGTCATGGCTCGATCCAAAGCCAACGGAAGTCAATGAGAGTCCTTCCGTTAACTTCAATGGATTTTGGATCAGGGTCTCAAAGGTTGCTCAGCATTTTGCAGGCTTAGATCCTTTGTGCCGCCACGTTGCAGGGGTCCTTGATATGACTGCTGCAATCAGGCTGCGGCTGGGACATTTTGAATGACTGTGAATGTAAATACGTCACTGAAACACACACAGCAAAACCCTCCCTGAAGAACTCCGCTTGCCTTATCATCAGGGACTGGAGAAAATCAGTGGCATGAAAATAATTGTGTGCCCCGTGACTGCTCATCCTTAACAATGTGGATTTTTTAATAGTTTTAGACTGGTTGGTGCAGCCGAAACCACGTTGGCTTGGAGGAAACGGTTGGTTGTTAGACGGACCAGAGGAAGTTTTACAAGGTACCGTGAGAGCAACTCGGCATTTTAATCACCTGGGCATTGTGGGTTGTTGAATTCTGCAGGACGAAGGACACTGATTTGGAAAATAATATGCAAGTCAGTAGCAGTTCAATGCCAATAAATCAGCCCTTTTTCGAGGGAGAATAGTAAGTACTGTGGTTTCAGTTCAGAGCCTCAAGCTCCTCTGAAACACCACTTAATCAACTTTGCAGACTCAGTGTTACCGTGGAAAGAACACGTCCTGTAAACTCATTGTCCATTAAATGAGATACAGATGTACAGTGCAAAAGGCCAAATAATAACCGATTTGTGATTGTACCCCATGTGGAAAGGTGACTCCAGGGCCTGTGAAGTGAACAGAATTTCAAATCTAAAGCAAAAGATTTGTTTTTAATATACAGCTCTGCTGAAAGCCTCCTTAGAAGGGGCAAAATTCTCCTCTTCTATCTGCCATGCAGATGCATAACCAGTGCTCATTAGTGTATGAAAATGTGATTAATGTCAGGGAAAGTGACGTGAACAGGATAAGCAAAGAATATACCCAATGCAACTTGTAGAAGAAGATTTTGCCCTCAGAGTCGGGTGTGACATGATAGTATAACCTGACAATACAATATTGCATGTCATTCTGTATGCGTGGGTGTTTGGGTTAGATGGACGGGTGAATAAGGGAGAGCCATTTCCTTCCCAACTACATAGAACTGATTTACATGACTCAATGGCAAGATTAGTTTGTGTGATGTATTTGGTGACAAACGCGATCCACTCCCATTCAGGCTTACACAGTTTCATGTAGCCTTTATTTTGTACATTTTAAGACAATGCTGTTGCCATCTATGAATGACATGGGTGAGGTAATATCTTTTATTGGCTCAACTTCTGTTAGTGAGAGAGACACGCTTTCAAGCTACACAGAGCTCTTATCTTATTTTGCCTCTCTCACCTACAGAAGTAGGTCCAATAAAAGATATTACGTGATTCCCCTTGTGTCTCTAACATCCTGGGACTGACACAGCTACAACTATGCTGCATATACATGCAAAAACAGATAAGCCCAGGAAAGTAATTGATCAGGTTACCTCTCCTGGCACACTACCCATCAGTACCCAGGCTGGGCCGTGGAAGCTAATGATCCAACCAGTGATGAATCCTGGTCATGTGCTACCTGAGGAACATTGTGTATACGCAAAGAAGAAGGGGCAAGGTGACTTCTTTTGCAAATCTCTGGCCTCTGCTATGTTCTTCCGCTGTGTCTTCTTCACTCTCTTGTTGTCTACCACTGTTCCACTTTTATACCCTGTTCCATGACTTTACTCAGACTCAGTTACCTCATCTGTGTACCTACCCATTCTAAACCCGACTAAACATTTTTATGCATAAATCATAACTAACCTAAACTAATACATTTCTGCTTACCCTGTTAAAACTTTTTTTGTCTACTTCTATACTGATCTCCTTTATATTCACTGCTGTTAATTTTACTGGCTCCATCTAGTTTTATCTTACTGGTTTGTTTTTGTGACCTTGGGTTTTTGCTTGTTAGCTTCTCTTGCGGGGCACCTGAAGTTAACAATTCCCTCATGACGATCTGTTTCACCCTGCTATTTACATAGATAAGGCTTTACAAAGCAAGACACACAAACTAGGTTTCATGGTTTACATAACCCTGAAGCTGTTATAATTAAGCTCTAAAAAGTTGCATCAGCAGGGACACACAGAAAAGCAAAAATTCCTTTATATTTTTCTGCTCTATATATAATTCATTTCTCCAACACTGTTTAATATATATATATATTGGACTAACACAGTTCATTGCACTGTTTTCCAACTGATGCTTGAGATGCACTTTATTCAAACAACGAGTTTTAGATTAATAGATTTCAAGGCCAGGAGGGACTATTGTAACCTTCTAACCTGATCTCCTCTATAACACAGGCCAGAGGATTTCACACAGTAAATTCCTGCATCAAGCCCTTGAGTAAGTCATGCCCCTGATCTGTGCCTCAGTTTCCCCATCTGTAAAATGGGGATAATGATACTGACCTCCTTTGTAAAGTGCTTTGAGATCTACTGATGAAAAGCTCTATGTAAGAGTTAGATGCTATTATCTTTATATCATTTGTATAGTATCAGCTTCCAGCCACTCGATTTTGTTAGCCTTGGTCTTCTAAATTAAAGACCCCTCTATTATCAGAAATATTTTCCCTGTGTAGGTACTTATAGATCATGGTCATGTCACCTCTTAAATAAAGATGAAATCACATCCCATTACCAATTCTCTGAGCCATGCAATCCCACCTCAGTTGAGGGAGATGGGATCTGATCAAAGGCCCGGAAAGTAGGAACCTGAGAATTGTCATTCCCAACCCTGACACTGACACCCTTGGTGGCCTTAAGCCAGTCTCTTGGGACCTGATTTTCGGATTCCAGATGTTGTTCATGCAGTTCCGTGGTGTTTCGCATGCATGCACAGCTGAGCATGCAGAATGTAGGTTCCTAAAGTAAGCGCAGGCTTGAAGTCTGAAAATCAGGCCTTTCACCTCATTGTCTCAATTTCTAGATGTATAAAATGAGCATAACATGATCTGCCTCGCAGGTTTGTTTAATTAATCAATGGTTCTAAAGTACTCGGACAGTCTTGCTTCAAGGCTTATTAGAGACCAGTATGAGACCTAAGAAATGGGGCAGATTATCCCACATCTGTCTACTGTGGGGGTCCTTCCACCTTCCTCTGAAATATCTGTGGCTGGTCACTTTCAGAGACAGGCTATATGGATGCCAGCTCTGATCCAGACTGGCAATTCCTAATGAGAAAAGTCTGCCTTCAACTCCACTGACTTCACTAGGGTTGTACAAGTGTCAGTAAAACATACTCTTCTCCCCCCGTATTTATTGTTGACTCTTATTTTTATTTGATCACTGCGGAATGGAGCAGTTAGCAAGAAGTGCTCCAGAAGTGAGTACCCTCAATCAAGGCATGGGCATTAGAGGAGATTCTCCTGAAATTAAAATTCCAACAAATGAAAGCAAGAAAGTGTGGGGTGGTCTTGTGGTTAAAGTACAGAAACAGGAGTTAGAAGTCCCAGGTTCTGTTCCTAGCTCTGACACACACTTGCTGCGTAACCTTGGCCATGTCACTTAACCGCTCTGTGCTTCAGTTTCCACATTTTACAGATGGGGATAATACTGGGTTACTCCACAGGAGTCATGTGTGAGAATCAATTCATTAGTTAATAGATGTAGAGCATCTTGAATATTTTGGAACCATTTTGCCTTGCTGTGCCCAGCGACCTCTGGGCACAGAAGAAGGGGAGAACTACCAGGGAGTTGGTAACTGTTCCCTGGTTCTTGACCCAATCCCGGGTGCTGCTTAAAACAGCTTGATGGCTGCTCTAAACTGTGCCAGCTGGTAACAGTCCTGGAGAGGACACCCACTGTTCAGAGCATGGCCAGCAACCCCTCTTTTCCACCAGTCCCCAGCTCCAGCACACACCCTGTAGACTGGGCCGCAGGAAGAACGGAAAGGCAGCTAGCTAGCTTGGTTCCCCCGCTGCGGGGCACTCCCCCACATCAGGGACTCGCCAGTTAGCGGAAGCAGTCATTCTCCCCTCTCTTTGAGTGGAGTAAAGCAGACAGCATGTTGTGTCAAGCTCTCTATACGTGTTAAATATTCCGTATGTGGGGAAATAGAACTGGGGGGCCTTCCTTTTAATAACCTGAGTAACACCGAAGGCCCAAATTCAGACCCTCTGAGAGAGGCTCAGTACAGGACTAAGCTGTACAGTTCCCTGCCAAACTCGGTCAAGGGTCATGACCAGAGGAGGGAGGGGGGAGGAAGTAACAGTGGTAAAGGCCTCAGCAACCTAATAACCGCATGTTTATGAAATATAATAACCGCTTGTGTGAAGCAATAGGTAACTTTAGCTAAATGCAAACTGACTAAATGCAACTCTTCCTGTTGTTCCAGCTATCTGCAAACTCAGCCAATCATATACCCTCTTTGAGCATCCTATGTTAACTCCCTTGTGCCCATAACCGTAAAGCCCCGGAAAATAATATGTACCCTGACGAAAAATACCCCTAAATTGGTGCCAAGTAACACCCATAACGGAAAAAAACCAAGTGACCCCTTACCTAATAGGCACCCAGTTCTCGTAAAATAATAAGGAAGGTACCGGGAATAGGGGGGCAGGCCCCAACTTTAATTTTTCCGTGACGTATGATTTTTCCACTGTGCTTGCGGTTTGACGGAATAAAGCAGCCTGCGAGCTGCTGCGAGGGGTGTCAGTCTTCGGACTGCACCCCAGTGCACTGGTATGTATGTCAATAAACTGGCCTCAGGCTTGAGTCTGTAAACTAAAATCAATGCGTGGATGTCTTGGACCACGACATGTATGATTGTTTGTCAAA